ATGGGCAGAGACCTCAAAATGCATGGTGGTGCTCTAACCCTTCAAACACACAACCACCACCACCACCATCATCAGCAGCACATCCATGTTATTATTCACAAAAACAGTAATCATCAATTTTTTTTTATCCTGTGGTGTGCAGTGTCCTATAGGCTTGGACAGTCAATATAACATGGAAAGTTACCATAAGTATCTAAACATCCCAATATATTTAATAGGATACATAGTCTTAACGTGATTCATGTGGTTTTATACTTATATAATCATTGCTATGGTTACCATGAATTCATTCTATTTCTATACTGTATTCTATTCTATATTTATCCTTGTCTATCTTTTTATATCTATACATTTAGACTCTAATATTTATTTTAAATATACTGTAGGGTCTAAGGTATATTTAAAAAAATGTTATTCTGTATGCCCCATTGTACTGAATGTTTTACTCTGGAGCTGAAATCACAAAACATCTTGTCTCATTGAACTAAGTAACATTTACCAGGGTTGTTATTATGTTTGTCTAAGGCTGAGACCAGTGACGTTTGGTGAGGTTCATGGCTGGTGAGGCACTGACTCCTCTGGAGTCAGATTTACAATTGTAAGAAGTGAAAAGAGCATCTTATTTCTCTCAAATGGTTCATTGGTTTATTACCAGGTGATGATGTTGGATGAATAGTGAAAAAAGATGAAATAAGATCCATCAGCACACTTTTAATAATACTGACACCAACACAAATACACACGCGGCGGATGTTCTCCTGAGGGATCTCCTCTCAGACCTGGACTAAAGCATCCGCCAACTCCTAGACAGTCTGTGGTGCAACTTTGGTGGATGGTGCGAGACATGATGTCCCAGATGTGCTCAATTGGATTCAGGTCTGGGGAACGAGCGGGCCAGTCCATAGAATAAATGCCTTCATGATGCAGGAACTGCTGACACACTCCGGCCACATGAGGTCTAGCATTGTGTTGCATTAGGAGGAACCCAGGGCCAACCGCACCAGCATGGTCTCACAAGGGGTCTGAGGATGTCATCTCGGTACCTAATGGCAGTCAGGCTACCTCTGGCGAGGACATGGAGGACTGTGGGGCCCTCCAAAGAAATGCCACCCTACGCCATTACTGACCCACTACCAAACCGGTCATGCTGGGGGATGTTGCAGGCAGCAGAACGTTCTCCACGGCGTCTCCAGACTCTGTCACGTCTGTCACATGTGCTCAGTGTGAACCTGCTTTCATCTGTAAAGAGCACAGGGCACCAGTGGCAAATTTGCCAATCTTGGTGTTCTCTGACAAATGCCAAACGTCCTGCACGGTGTTGGGCTGTAAGCACAACCCCCACCTGTGGACGTCGGGCCCTCATACCACCTTCATGGAGTCTGTTTCTGACTGTTTGAGCAGACACATGCACATTTGTGGACTGCGGGAGCTCATTTTGCAGGGCTCTGGCAGTGCTTCTGCTGTTCCTCCTTGCACAAAGGCGGAGGTAGTGGTCCTGCTGCTGGGTTGTTGCCCTACTACGGCCTCCTCCACGTCTCCTGATGTACTGGCCTGTCTCCTGGTAGCGCCTCCATGCTCTAGACACTACGCTGACAGACACAGCAAACCTTCTTGCCACAGCTTGCATTGATGTGCCATCCTGGACGAGCTGCACTACCTGAGCCACTTGTGTGGCTTGTAGATTCCGTCTCATGCTACCACGAGAGTGAAAGCACCGCCAGCATTCAAAAGTGACCAAAACATCAGCTAGAAAGCATCGGAACTGAGAAGTGGTCTGTGGTCACCTCCTGCAGAACCACTCCTTTATTGGGTGTGTCTTGACAATTGCCTATAATTTCCACCTGTTTTCTATTCCATTTACACAGCAGCATGTGAAATTGATTGTCAAGTGTTGCTTCCTAAGTGGACAGTTCGATTTCATAGAAGTGTGGTTGACTTGGAGTTACATTGTGTTGTTTAAGTGTTCCCTTTATTTTTTTGAGCAGTGTATATACACAGGAGCATATTTGTCCTACAAAGAATGTTTCTTTATACAAATGGACCCTTAGTGAGTCTAAGCAATTCATACTTACTGTTAACAAATTAAAGTATAGAGATGAGTGCAGCACAAATCAAATTTTGACCTTCAGTAAAGAATTCAGTTATTTTTTAAACTTTAAATTCTGGTGCTTTAATCAAAGATTGTCTATCAATTTGATAAGAAAAAAATATATTTTAGGTCAGAAATGTAGTTATCAAATACTTTTTTTCTATTTACTCCCATCTTATTGTTATGCTAATGGACTCTAATGTTACCGTGTCCATTGCTCATCCAATGCCAAATGGATACTTGAATTTCCAGAATTTTTTAAAGACATTTGGCTTTGAATGTATGTGGCTGATCTTCCTTGTCTGCTGAGGCTTCTTTGTAAATGTTTCAGGTTACAGTATCCCGATTTAGTCCAGACGTTATCACACGAGGAGAATAAAAGGCAAGGAAAGCAGTAAAGGCGGTTTCTTACGGGACAGCCACACAGCCAGTCTTTTCGTTTGTACCAGTACATTTAAAAAGAACGACTCTTCTGTCCCGTAGTTTGAAGCAAACCTTTAAGCTCCGGCGTTGGTCTTCCATCACTTATCATTTTCTGTCAGGACCGAAAGTCCAGTTTTGAGACATATTTCCATCTAGAAATACAATCGAGTGAGTCGGATCAGGCAGAGCATAGAAAACGCTGTTCACCTACCAGTGGCTCTAGCTTGACTTCGACTTTCAGTTCACGTACGACCCCTTGAGGTGATGCAGAGTACTATTTGCCTCCCCTGCTGACTTTTCTCTGCACTTTATTGGCTGGAACAGAAGCGGACTCGCGTCATGTGACCCAGTTTGATTGGATCTCGCAGTCAGAAGAGAGGCACAGCCCGTCGGTGCCTCACCCGGGATGTCTGCTCTGTATTTGAATGCGAAACACTCGAATTCGGCGATTTTTACTTAATAAAATATCAAAAAATGTGTAGAGTCATACTGAAAATGCATCTTTAACACAGATCAGAGGAAAATAATATTTATTTTATGTAATTTTTTTCTCCTTTTTTATTCCCCGACCGCACGTGACTGGCTCAGACTAATGCAAATCATAACAACATTTACGGTTTGGCAACACAGTGTATGTCAATAGATAAAAGTAATATTAAATTAGGAATTTTCTATGAATACTGTCAATAATGTATTGACATTATCATGTCAACTGACACAACATAAATATTGTAAACAAATGTGAATTTTTTTAAAATTGACTTCGAAACTAACACAGTTCCATGGTGGATAATATTTTCATGGTCAACACCAATAAAATACAAAGTAAATAACAAATTAATTTTTCACTTAACAAGTAAGTTAATGCTAGGGTATTTTATTATTGTAAATTTATATATTTTTTTATATTTATTTTTTTATATATTTATTTTACAAAAGAAAAATAATATATTTTATCAATTAACATTACAACAAAATGTTACATGAATTTTGAAAGTTCTGTTATTATTCTGTTACTAATGACTAAATGTCTTTGCTGTGTAAAAAGCTAAAATGAATAGAGGTTTAGGCCTGTTTATTGTCCTGGCTGCTATTTGTTGTTTATTGTGCTGTTTTCCATACTGTTGCACAGGACTCTTCTGGTCTGATTGTTGGTTTTGTTTTGTTTTTTTTGGTACTAATTTGATTTTATGACTTCCATTAATAGGGAGTGTGACACACATGCATAGTCTGGAGGGGGTGGGAAGGTTGATTATCTTGTTGCATGAATTATATCTTATCACTCTGTTGCGATAGTATCCATGGAGACCCATGATGCTGCTGAGGTGTGGTGTGCTCCAAAAGAAGCTGCTCAAACAGCTGCTTCCTCTTCCTCCTGCTCCTGTCTTTTGTTTGCATGCATGACATTTGTAGAACCACAACATGGCTCATCCAACCAAAATGGCCCAGCAGCCTGTGGCTGAGTGATGACACTGAAGGAGGAGAAGAAGGAGGAGTGAGATGAAAATGAGTATAAGCTCCTCCCCTTTACACCTCTCCCATGACATAGACCAGTATTCCCAGTAACCACATGTGCAAAAGTGTGTGTGTGTCTGCTTTGATATTTGGCCCATTTCTTTTGCCCGAGCCTCCCATGACATTTCTTACCTCTGGGACTAGTACTATATACCAGGCTATGATGTCAAGCATCAGGATAAAAAACACTTACTGTATAATGAGGGATTGCATGTTCGAATCACGCTTTGATTGGCTCTGGTGAGTTCAGCAAGTACCAATTCCCTTGCTCCCAGGACACTGAAAGCAGCCAGTGTTCCCTGGGAGTTGGTTGATGGCTTAAATCCAGAGGACAAATTGTGTTGCATATACTGTACATGTACAATGACAATGAATGGGATTCTTTTTGCTTTTTTCATCTTCTTCTTCTCTCTCCGTCTCCTCTTTCTTTTCATCCCTTTTCTTCATTCTCTTCTTCATTTGAGTGAAAATGTGCCATTTGGATTTAATTTTTCCCTGTTTATACCAACAGTCTGATAACACAGACTCCCTCTGTTGGACCATTTTGGACATTTGGAAATTGTGGAAATAGAATATTAATAAAAAGTAATCATGGGAGGCAGATGCAATTTTGCTCTCATAAATTACATTAGTACAGATATTGGCTTCTCACATAAGGGGTCAATTGAATCTTGGTCTGTGTTTTGGCATCAACTCTTTTTTTCTCTTATACAATAGTCAGCATCACTGTAGGTGATGGTTAATGGTGGTGTGTTATAAGTGAGTTCTAGTTGGTAAATCTAAGTAGATTTTGTTATGAAAATAGCAGTTGATGGTCTGAAAATGTAAATTTCTCATTCAATCTTCTCATTTTTTAATCCCTAAAACAAAATGAAAGTGAAATAAAACTGGGTTGATTGTTCCCCGGCAGGGGTCTCATAGCGGAACAAACACAGACACATGCATACAGACAGGTGGAAAAGGGGCTTTTAGGTGTGACTAGCTCTGAAGCAACCTGTCTGGATCCGTGTGTGAATACCAGCCATGCTGTCAAACCACTTTTCAGGCCAGTCACGTAGATGGAGCAGTGGGAGAAAAAGGGGGTGGGGGGGTTACAGGGCTTGAACTCTGCTTTAGTGTCACCCATTCTCTCTACTTTACACAGGTCCAGTCTTATCTCCATCAAACCTGCTGTGAAGCTTTATACATCACAGCACACACACACACACACACACACACAAACACAGGCTCTGTCCCATACTCTTAGAAGGGCTGGATTTAGGAGTGTCACGTGTGTTGAATGTGTGTTTGTTTTGGATACACTTGTTGTCCATATTACTCTGAGGCATCAAAAGAAACGAAAAAGCTGCTGGATCAGTTTGGTCTTAGAAACTCCTGGGAAGTATTCAGTCCCAACAGGCAGCAACAAGTAACTTCACCTCACTGATAACATTGAAATCTCAATGACTGATCACTATCAGCCACATGTTGGCGTCTCAGTTCATTAGTAAACAAGACTGTCTGTCTCTAGCAGATGTGCTATCATTTGCATGCTTTAACACTCACTTACATTCACTTTTGCTTCCAGGGTAAATGTATTTCCGGTTTACCTTTATTACATTTCCTTTCTCTCCTTTGTTTTCATTTAGAAACTGTGGGAAAAATCTGCTCATCCATTCATAAATGTTTCTTGCACAGTGGATAGACACAGATTATCTGCATGAGGAAAACAGCACAATGGCATTTTTCTAGAAAGTTCTTTTCTCTAACAAATCTTATCATATGGTAGTTCTCAATGTAAAGGTCAAAACAGGAAAGAAAACAATCTACCCAAGCATACTTGTGTTACTCCTAAATCACTATAGAAATTCTGTGCACGATATGTTTGAGGGAGAAGTTAATCCTGTGGTTAAGTTTAAATCCTGATGAAAATGCATTGCTGTCAAAGACATGCAAAGATTATGTTAAGTTATGGGGTTTCTCTCCACAGTCTTAAAGGGCTAAGGGTCTTTATTATTATTATTATCTATTTTGGGTCTTTCAGTTTCTACATTCTTTCTTCAAGTTTTCTTTGAATACTTTGTTAATGTCAAAGTATAGTAATGGTCAGTGTGATCTTTCTTGTGTGACTGACAGTTCTTGAGTGGAAGCTCTGACCGTGAACACTCTTGCATAACCACTGTTATGTAAAGTGTGAGCTACAGAGGAGGAGCAGCTTAATCCAGCAGAGATCTTAAAACAAGAGTAGAGCTCAGGATTCACCTGTCTCACTATCTTAATTTCTTTAGCTGAATTACTCTCTTTATCCTGTTAGGCCGTAAGGTGAACCACGTCTAAAAACTCCTTTAGAAATTGAATTACGCTCCGCGTCTAGGAACTACACGATCTCAACTTCATAAATAAGAACGAGTTACGTTAAAGTTACGTCGCAAAATATCCTGCCCACTTTTTATGTCGATGCATTTTATAAAGAACTAGCATCTTCGGGGCGCAATAAGATTTTGGTGCGTGAATGGTGGCACGGTTCAACACGTGATCGTGCTACACCAAACGAGTAGCTGATTGATGTCACACTTCCGGCAACACGGCTTCCTCTGTGGTTTTACTTAACGTTACCGATAGAGAGGAATTCTCCCAAAAGTCTTCTAAAGTGGGCCAAATGGATTCTAAACAGTGCTTTATACATAGCTGTCTGCACGAAGAACAATGAGGAAAATAGACGATAAGGTGAACTTTGTGGCCTATGTGTGTGTATTTCAGTTGTGTATGGAGTCGTTGTTCGACTCTAAGATCTCTTTTCTGCTATTTGGAACAGTGGAAAGTATATACAGCCAATACAGTCAGCCACCACACCTAACCCTCAGATCAAATGAATAATAGATTTTGTCTCTGTACTGCAAAGGGTCAACGTCCTGCCTGTTGTAATGTTCTCTACTTTCTTAAAGGGAAAGTCCAGGTGTTTCGTTGAGTTACTGATGATTTAGTTCACAACTGACTAGCTGAAAAAGACACTCCTTCTAAAATAGCTGCTATTAGTAGTAGTATTTAATTCAAATGTTGCCTCCGTTTGCTTAGTGAGGAAAGGAATGAAGTGTATACCCTAAAAAATACCATGGCTTTAGTTTTGTGTTAAAACACTGATAGAAAAATGCTGATTCAATTTGTTTTTACTTGGACGATCAAAATTACCACCCTAATCATGTTTATTAATTTGTGAAATTCATCAGGGTAAATTTTCAATACATGTAGCACATTGGCAAAATGACACACATTGTATATCCAACCATCCTTCCTCCATTCTTGTACTTATTGTTGCTCTGATACACAATTGATATACATGACGTTATCGTCACAAACTGAAGGAAAAAACTGTGTTACACGAAGCTCCTTGAGTCTGGATCCTAAATGTCCAATGCATACAACTGTCAAATAGATTGTTAGGAAGTAAAAACTGATTGATGTTGTGGAGAACAATGGCTTCACTGAAGTTTTGAAATCCAGCATCAAGATACACTGTAATAGAATCTAAATAGATCATAGTCTTGACTTGTCTAAACTTGATTATTCATGATTAATTATGATCATAATTAATAGTGATTAAACCACAGCTGCCCAGATTAAAATAGTTTGACAGCTGTACTTTATAAATTGAAGACTGAAATGATACAGATTGGTCATATTACCTTTATCTATTAACAATTTTTTTTTAATTGTGTTAAAGACAGGTTTTATTTCCTGTAATATATTTACAGTTTACTCAGTCGGCCTCCACTAATAAATCACAGATGCAAGTTTGAAAGGCATGGCTCATCATTCTGTCACTTTCTTCTTGACATCAGTGACACCAACATATTCTCAATCAGTAGTTACTGCACATTGTAAAATGGCTGGAGATATTAGTAAAATAATCAGCTTCATTTGTCAGTGTTCATATACAGACACTTGTTGTCAAAATTTGTTGGCATTTAACGCTCCGTTCTTTTGGAGCAGTAGATTCATTCAGCTCCACACACTACAGCCAAGAAATGTCACCAACCTGTGGTCCTCTAGCTTTTATTTGGATTCTCACTTGATTTTTGTGCAGGTGCAGATTAAATGTAATAGTAATTGTAAAATAGCTTGTCAATGTCATTATGTCTAACCTATAATTTCCTGTGCCTCTCCTTTCCCTTGACCTGGACTGTATGATCCTTCACTTCAGAGCTCCTGTGTAACTGCAGCAGTGGGAACGAGGGGATTTCAGATCCCAACGAGTGTGACCAGACCACCGGTCAGTGTGAGTGTCTGACGGGATACGCCGGCCTGCAGTGTGAGGACTGCTTTGAGGGCTTCTTCACAAATGGCACCAGTGGCTGTCTGCCCTGTTCATGTGACTCCTTCGGAGCCGTTGACCACCTCTGTGACAGGTCAGGCTGCTCTTCCTACTGCCTCTTCAATGAAAACTCTGTGCTCTTGTATGCTCTCATTTTTGTGAAACATGAAAGAACAAGTTTTAAAACTTAATTTAAATGCAGTGATAGCAAAAACATTCAGTGTTTTCAAATAACTTTATTTCATTTGACTCTAATCAAGACATTTAGAAATTTGTGTTCCATCACATCACCAGAGTGAGTGAATGTCTGTGCATACTCGCTTCATTAAAGGCTGAAAATGCTCAAAAGTCAGCATTGGCCATTTTCTAATTCACCTCTTTAGGATAGACTTGTGAGGTGAGACAGATCGTCTCTGTTCATTGGAAACACTGCAGTGATTAGGATTTCTTAATTTTAGAACAATACCAGTCAACTAATTTTGTTTGGTGGTTATACTTCTAAAATGTACTACAAAAACCTATGCTGGAGATTTTACAAAGAAAGAGGAGTGACGTGGTCTGTCAAGCGTTACACAGTCTGCTTTGTATTAATGTATATTATCTCCCAAAGACCTGAGCTCAGCTCTGCTGTGTAACAATTTAGACTCTCGGCATCATTATTCCACCAATTTAGCCAAACCACCGGCCCACAGGCCTCCCTGAAGGCATTGCAATCCTCACACTCTGCTTACTCTTCAAATTCTGAGCCCCGAAAAATAACACTCACACACCACACACAGTAGATCTGACTGCACATGCAGTTTGTCCACAAATCACTGGAATTGTGACTTGGATCAGTAAAACATACGTGTGGGTTTTTTTGCACATCCATAAGTGTTAACTACTGCACATTGTAAATACTGAAAATACTTCTGTTGATTCATGTGTATATTTTGTTATTTTATTCATGTGTATAGTTTGTTATTTTATTTCTTGATTTCTTTGGCATTCAGTGTGGACAGCAAAGTACAATTTTCATTGTACAGGGAAACCTGTGGTAATGTGGTAAAACACAGCGACTGTCTTCTGCTGCTACTGACCATGAAAAGAGAAGCTGTTGTTCTCAAGTCTGAGTAACTGTCAATGAGTTGTGTTGTCAAACACTAAAAAACGACAGCCCTGGAAAAGTTAATTCTAAGGGTGGCTGAAAGATGCAGTTCCAGTGTTATTGAGGTGAAGGTGCCGACCTGAGGGTCAGGCTTTCCCACACTACCACACCAGACGTAGTATTTTTCAGACTGTCTGCGCCAGACTGCTGGTAGCTTAGTCACCCCCTTGAGCTTATTGCTAGTAATTAGTCTGCTCCTGCAGCTCACCTTAATGACTGCTGCTTTACAGTGAAGTAAGAACCTGTGATACTTCCTGGTCTTTTTTAACTTTATGGTCTGCGTTTCCATTATATGGCATTGTAGGGCTGTCAGTACACAGTAGACGTGTACAATGTACTGTACGTAGAACAACAAATTGTTCTTCTCGCTGATTAACTGGTAAATTCAGAACAATTCCATCCATAAGGCAGTTGATTTTTTTTCTTTTTTAGCAGCTAGTTATTATGAAATTAAGAAAATAGTTAAGAAAATACCTTCCTCATTTGGCATTTAGAATATTCTTGTTTTATTTAATGATAAAAATGTGTGGATGTTTTCAAAAATCTTTGTCGTTTGTGTTGGCCTATTATGGGGAGGGGTACTGCAAGATTCAGTCAGAACCTGATCTTTACAGAGCTTTGGTGTATTTCAGTGGTCACATGGTCTCTTATCAGCGCTATATTAATACTATGCCATATACTGTAATGACATAGCAACAATATCAGAGGAACCTGTGAGGTTCATCAGTGCAGCTTTTTTATATCATCAGGTTGTTCATTAACCCTGTTTCACTGAAATGTACTGTTCATGGTGTGACTGTGCACTCTGCCACAGTTAGTCAATATCCTATTGCTGTGTGAGAGTGGTGTGTATGAGCATTGCCTTCTTTACAGAGTCTTAGCACAGTGGCAAGTGTTCTTAAGTGATCCCAGCTGCCGTAAACAACAAAAAATATGTTGAAGATGTTTTTTTGATGTTCTCTAACTGGCTCAATTTAAGTGTTGTGTTACAATGAGGTGGCACTTCTGGCCCAGAGGCAATGTCACTGTCATTGGTGTGGAACCCCAGGGTTCACCTCCTGGGCAAGTTTGAATCCCGGTTAGGGCGGTTAATACCTTCCAGAGGACTCACCACCTGCAGGAAGGTTTAGGGGGGTTGGTACGGAGCAGTGTGATTTGGGAGGCGACTGCTGCCCCCGTGACCCAGTAACGGATGAGCGGATGAAATAGGATGGATGGATGGATGTTAGAATGAGGAGACCACATGGCAGACTGTCACATGATATGACACTCAGTAAATGTTATCACCAAATATATATGATTTTCTTTTTTTTATTTACATCCCAAGAGAAGAGTCAAATGTTATAAGGTGTGGTTTTACAGCATGTAGATTTCGCAAGTGCATTTGTATGGAGTTTGCATGGGGGCAGGGGTGTGGTTCTCCTGCTAAGCCGGTTTCCTCTTAAATACATGTTCATCAGGGGATAAGGTATTGAACGTAGGTGTGAATGTGACCATTAATGGTTGTCTATCTCTATAATTGTGGCCTTTGATGGACTGGCAAACCCTCGCCTGTTGGCGGCTGGAATTGGCGCCAGCACCCTCTGCAACCTTGCAAACCAATAAGCGGTATATAATGGATGGATTAATAGAAGAATGTCAACCTAGCAGATGAGTTTGTCATCGCCTCAGAGGAAAGTTCCTTGATATGACAGTGAGTGAGAGTAGTCATACTGTGTAACTGTGGACTTATTCTCTCACTGGGACTACTACTTTTAAAAACAAAGTGTTTTCACATCAAAGATCTGTAAATGATATTGTTGCCTCCACCTTGTGCGTGTTTTTTTCCCTGTGAAAACAAAGATGTTTATCATCAAAAGACCTAAAGTTAAAACCTTCTTAACTACTGGTCATCAATGCAAGCCATCTTCATCGGCAGAATACAGTTGTATATATAGCCAGCAAATTATAAAGATAACATAAAGTCAATGTGGAAGAGTTGATATTTTCTTAATGCTTTGCTGCCTGTATTTCTAGATATATTTAACAGTGATGAACTACAGGTGTCTGCAGTGCTCACACATGGTGTGCATTTCTGACCTATCGTGTTATGAAGCATGTGCAGGATTTCAGCCAGCGCATTGGCTTTGCTGATCATGTCAGTGCGGGACAAATGATGTGCGCTGATGCCGTTTCTCTTCCATTGTATGTGGGTCAGCTCCTGAGGGCATCCTTCACAAGACATTTGTGTTCATGACAGTGCGTGGAAGGCGCCACTGTCTGTAATGAAATATTGATCGTGGATGCAGATGTTTCCGCCCTTTGCATTGGGTGTCACTGAGCAATGCAGGCAGCGCAGTTGTCTGCTCTTACAGCAGTTGTACTGCTGTGAAGAAATGCATTATTCAATGTGTGCTAACAGTAAAATCTATTTGATGAGAATCAACTGTGAAGCAAAATAATCAGGTAGGTGGAAGTGAATAATTGATGAGTAACAGTGAATGCAAGGTGAGGCCTGTTACAGTATGGCATGGGAAGCATGAAGGATCTGCTTACAGTACTCTACGTTATGGTACCAAAAGTTCAAAGACTTCCTGTATGTTTGAATTTTAGAGGGACACATTAATGATAACCTCCTTTCCTTCTACAGAATTCTTTAGCGACATCTTATTCTGAAAACTTAACAGAAGACTTGCTTCATAGAGACAACATGTATGGCCTGACTGGTTGGGGTGCAGTCCAGAAAAATTGAAAGCTGTGGTGCATCATAAAGAATACAATCCGAAAGAGAAGACAGGGGAGCAGTGACCGTCATACTGGATAATTTTATAAACACAAATTTATTTATTCTGTTCCTAGAACAGTCTAATTTCAATATGAAATCACAGATTTACATTTTATTGAACTTTTAGTATGGTTGCAAACCATTCCGGATATAAGGTCCGAATGGGTTTTAAATTACTTTTTTGATCATTCATATTCATAATTCTTTGAACATAAAAAAACAAGCAAATGCAGAGGAAGTGCTTTGCTTTCTCAGCACAACTAGAAGTTCTCTGACCTGTAAAAATATCTAATGTCCAAAGGGCTTATCTCTTATGTAACAGATGTAAACACACAAACAGACTGTGTGTGAGTGTGTAAATCTGAATGTTGTTAGCTGTTGACCTGTATCAAGGCCAACAAAGCCTGACATGTGCCAGGCCACGGATGAGAAACTAGAAGTCCTGAAGGCTTTACACTCTCTCTCTAAGGATCAGTTAGCCACAGCCAGCAGAGCCACACAAGCCATGCTTTGTTTAGGCCAAACGCTCACCTTCTGGTGTTTAAACTGGCAACCAGGCCCAGTAAACCCTCCCCCCGTCGTGGAGAGGATGTTTTGTCTTTAAAAGTGTGGCTCTGATCTGATACATTTAACAGCATGTGGCCAATGTTGTCACAGCAGCCACAGAATGAGGTTAAGCTTTGTTAGCAGCCTGTAATACTGACCTACTTGACAGACTGATCTGAAAGCGAGCGGCTGGACCAACACGGTGCAGTGAAATCACACCAAAACAATAACAAACTCATCCCGCGCCTCCTTCCACCCTGGGGGACACAAACAATCTCCCAGATTATTAATCACAGGGAGAGAAGCCCTAACCCCCCGACACCCCGCCCTCTTCTTTTACTGCACCAACCAGGGGCCTGTACATACAATGACACACTTTCCTTTGCACCGGCAACAGCCATTAATTTAAGCCGCACACATATGGATGACAGATTGTGTTTCATTTTCAGTAGGTCAGTGTTTTACAGTGATATTTTTCGAAGTCCTGAATCTCACCAGAAAAAATACATATTACATTTTAGTCTATTACTTGTTAGCTTAGTGGCTCTTTGGCCCAGACGCAATGTCTCTGTCATTGGTGAGGAACCCCAGAGTTCACCTCCTGGTACCTTTCAGTGGACTCACCACTTGCAGGTTCACAAGGGGTTGGTACAGTGCAGTGTGATTTGGGTGGCGGTCATGGAGACTGCTGCCCCTGCGACCGGTAAAGGATAAGCGGATGAAAATGGATGGATGGATGGATTTGTTAGCTTGTGAATTAGTTTTAAAGTGCAGCCCTACAACTGGGTCTTGCTATGTAACATAGCATACTGCAATAGGTGCATATTGAGGCTGCAATTTATTATGTTACTTTTAATTATTTGGTCAATTTCATTAATTAGGTTTTAGGTCAATTTCTTTATTTCTCTGTACTCAATCTTTACAAAAATATGTTTAGTATGTAATGTCATTAAAAGGCTAAGAATCCAAAACCCTTGCTTTTCATCAAATGTAAGGCCTACAGCTGCTCAAATTGTGTAAATTGTTGTTTTTTGTTACTAAATAATTGATATATTGACGAATAAAGCATTAAATCCTCTCATGGTTAAAGCATTTGCTTAATGTTTTTGTAAAACCTCTCTGACAGATTGATATATGTGCAAGACCTTTGAAGTGTTTCTTTATGTAATCCTGAACTCAGTACAGTGAACTAAGTGTGAAGTACAGAATACTGAATGGTATATACTTCTATCGTAAAATAGAAAGACAGGGTGGCAAAATGTGGGAACGGTGCCATGCTCGGAGCACCTCAGTGGTAACTTAGAAGCTGGTGGACTATATAATGCTCTCAGTTTAGTCATTGCACAGGTGGCTGATGCAGGTTGACACAAGTAGCATATGCTTACTGCAATATTTTAGGTACAGTATACACCCAGGAAAGAAAGGAGCCATTGTGGACTTTCAAAAAGACTTCACTGATTCTCTGTCATGACAAGAGATGACAACACATTCAGAGAAGAGTTCATGTTGTCGACACAAAAAAATGTCAGTATTTAAGTTGCTACTGTGAGGCCTACGGAGATCTAGGCTTTGCCAAGTAGATGTTTCTTATTCTGTTCTGTTGTAAACCAGTGAAAGTGAAAGTGTGAACGCACCCTAGTGCTGTTCACTTTCCTGAGGCTTGGAACAGAGATTTGTGTTTCTTTAGTTCTTCTCCTTGTTGGTCAGGAGAATTGCATTTCTCTTGCCCAAAGCAAACCACAGTTTTTTAGCTCTCCCCTCGAGGTTCTGGAATAAAAGGTGTCAGAAAGTCATATGCTAAAGGTTGATCATTTTTGGCTCCAATTGAATCACAACACATAGAGCAGCATAGATCTCTTCCCTCCCACAGACTCCACTCTTGAGGTTTCTCCTCTTTTTCTCTATAAAAAATTGCATTAAATTGCATTAAAAGATATTTAAAATCTGCACTTCTTTTAGCGCCGCCATGGGCTCCAGCTCTGAGGTTCTGGCTTTTTATACTAGCTGCTGACCAAGAAATGCGATCCGCTCTTTCTTTTACCTGAAATTAAGACAGCAATGGAGCAAATTCTACTGAATGTGCTGTCTTATGTAACAGTAGTGCACATGAATTAGGATACCGAGGACACTCTGATCTGCAGCGTCATCAGAGTTTGTTTTGTGTTTGTTTTTAACCTACGACATGATCAGCAAAGTGGTGTAATGCTGATAACTCACATCAGCTTTTGGGAATGTGCTGACAGAGATGTACTGACGTCTTCTTATTGTCAGTGAGAATATTCAAGTTGTACCTTGTGTAATCATATCATCTCTGATGATGACAACACACTTTTTTTCTTTTTTGTTTCAGCATAAGTACACATTTTAATACACATGTCCTTTATTTATACATTTGTACTTCATTCATACCATATGATTATATTATGGGGCAGGTTCAAGTCCACCATCTGCCAAGTTACCACTGAGGTGCTCTGAGCATGGCACTGTCCCCACACACACACACACACACACATACGCTAAGTGAAAGTGCTTGGCATCACTGCTGATTTTCTTTAAGTGTTTCACAGTCATTGTTTTCAGATTATGTTTGTGAGACTATTGTTTGGGACCACTGTTGTGCCGCACCTGCTTTTCTTCTTCTAGAAAGTTCACTGTCAGTGTGGATGGGCCACAAACCATGTGTGACTTTAGAGTAAATCTATCTATGTTTTCTCTCTGTCCTTGCATTAACAAGCAAACAGCATTAATTATTCCGTCGACTGTACGCAATGATTAATGTTTGTTCAAATGGTTTTTTGGGTCTGTGTGTTTAAACTGGTTTATTTGTGCAATTGGATTACTTTACCAGAACATTCCTGGAGGCATTATCCAATGAGATGAATTTTCTCTTGCATTATAACTGCTGATAATGCAAACCCACCTTCACCAGTGAATATCTTTAAAGTTCAATAATGTTCTGTACAAACGAATTCTAGAAAGAGAATAATGAAGAGAATTTGATCTCTGCACTGAGAGACCACCCAGACAGAACAACACATGGAGAATAAAAACACAGCTACCATAAGAAGAAAAAAAAATGGAAATACAACAGCTTAGCAAAAACCCACAACATGGCAACATCAGCTCTCATGTCCTGCTGGTAGACAGTAGTTTCTTACTAGACTGCTAGAATTCCAAATGAAAAATCAGTGAGCTACACAAGAGTTACTCACAATACATTTTTTTAAAGATTCCCATGCAAATGAATTAGAAAAACTAAGCCTTGTTTGCCTATATCGTGTTGAAATACCTCCCTTCTCTGCCTTCTGTTTGCAGCTCAGGAATATGTGTGTGCAAGATGGGTGTGTATGGCCCTAAGTGTGACGAGTGCCACCCAGGATTCTTCCACTTCAGCACCACTGGCTGTCGACCCTGCCAGTGTAACAACCACACCAGCTACTGCCACCCACAGTCCGGTGAGCCTGCAGCTACAGTTGAATAAGTTCACGCAATTATGATAGTGACAGGTCGGGGTTGGAGGTAGTAGATAAGTAGATCATTTTATTTGCCCCCTTCCTCTTGTCCATGTTATGCTTTTTATCAGCTGAGCTGTCCACTGTTAGCAAGTTAGCCATCAGTGAGCAAAGGAATGTCTCAAGTTTAAGCTTTAAAAAAAATAAATTACAGAGTGGTATTAATGAAATAACTGTTGATTTTACAAATCTATTATTATAATCTGTACTTGTTACTACGGAAGGATGTGTATTCAGCTGTTTGAAGGTTGGTGGAGATTTGTACCTCAAGTTAGCTCTGGGGTGGGTGTAATTAAATTATTATTAATAATAATTATTAAATTAATTGTAGTTCTGGTAATGAAACAAAGACACAATACACTGCTACACAAGTTAAACACTATAACAAGTGGCATTAATGTATTTTGGGATCATTAAATAGCCATTTCAGGGAGTCACAGTGAGTGTTTGTGGAATGGGGAGGGCTGCATTTAACACCCTGGCTCTAGGGCCCCGTAATTACATGTCAAGTTTAATTAGAACTGAGAAGTACTCAGAGCCTCCAGTCTGTCGGCTGTCAATATTTATAGTGTAAACTCAGGGCTGTTTTTAGAGTTTTAAAGAGTCAACTCACAGATCAACATCCAAAAATGTTGTGGTTTTCTGTTGTTCTCTGTATGAGTTAAGATGGGTCTCACCACCCCCGGTGTGTCCTTGATCAAATCTATGGACCTGAGCAGGAGAGTCGGCAGTCGAGTGTGGGGAGTTGTGTAAGGAGCCATATGTTGTGCCATAAACAGAGGAGGGCCAGATGGAGGAAATTTCGTTCAGAGATTAGCATGGTACAGGTTTGACAGCTCCCTGGTTAGAGGCGGTATCTGGTGCTGGTATCTTCTCCACAGTACTGCTTACAAAACACACTAGGCAAATAGAAATTATAAAGTAGCCCAAACATTAAGGAGGACAGGTAAACATGACATGGAGATGTTAGTTAGTTAACACAAGACAGAAACATTCTTTCAGCTGGAAGATACAGATGCTGCAAATGGGGGGTGGAGTGGGGGGGGGTGACTAAAGTAGTATTTCGTTTTTTTTGGTGTCTTTTTTGTTAACTGTCCAACCTTGAGGGAGAGGCGGTCACATGATCATTAGGTACCATATAGGGTGTTGTGGTAGCAGTTATGATGTACTTCATTCAGGGATAAATATCTAGTTTTTAACTTATTTTCCTCGTTCAGATTTGGTTCTGTTTGATTCCCAGGTCATTTTATTTTACGTGTGTGAATTAATCCATTGCACTGCCTGTCATTAGGGGAGAAAGGCACATGATGCTAACCCAGTCCAATTTCTGTCGTTACTTAGACAGTAATGCATGATGGTGATACTGAAGACAACTCAATTCTGTGAAAAACCCAGGAAAACCCCACTTTCTACTTAAAGAAATTCTAATCACAGCAACCACTTTATTCAGTTTAGTTTAAAAGTTCCATTTGAATTTATTCTTTACTGAATTTTTTTAACTCACAGTTGGAATTATCATATCAGAAGGCAGCAGAGAAAGGGATACACCATGGTCATGTGACTTTTGCTCTTCGTCCCTCAGGAGTGTGTTTGAACTGTGAGGGAAACACACAGGGATCTAACTGTGAGGTGTGTAAGCCTGCCTTCTACCGCCGCCATGGAGCCGCACCGACGGATGCCTGTTTACCGTGTCCCTGCTCCAACAGCACATCCAGCGGCACCTGTCACATAGGTCAGTCCCTGCTGCCTACAGAAATGTACAGTTGACTTTGTTTCTTGTCCTTGTTTTACTGGGCTGATGATGCGTTGTTTTTTTTGGTCACATAATACCAAAGGTCATCACCTTATACTGTTCTCCAGTTTGTTCTGACTATACAGAGATGTCTGCAACCTCTCACTGTGTGGAGTAGGTTTATATTTGTTTATACATCTGCTGTTAGAGTCTGCAATGCCCTCTGACTTTAACTGTCTGTATCATTAGTCTGTTTGGTAGTCCTTGGTTTGTCATCATAAATGCTGAATATGGTCACCATGTCCTACTGGCTTTTGTCTGCCCTTCATGTCATTTGTGTCACTGTCTCTGAACCTAATGTTGTACAGTGGTTTGAAAAAGTTTGGGCACCCCTGATCATTTTCAAGATTTTCCTTTATGTATCGTTGGTTGTTCTGAACAGCAATTTCAGTTACATACACAGGTGAAGCCAATCATGAAAAAGGGTATTTAATGTGGCCAGTTGCAAGTTGTTCTCCCCTTTGCATCTTCTCTGAAGACTGGCAACATGGGAGCCTCAAAACAACGGTCAAATGACCTGAAAACAACGATTGTTCAACACCATGGTTTAGGGGAATACAAAAAGCTAGTTCAGAGATTTCAGCTGTCAGTTTCCACTGTGAGGAACATAGTGAGGAAATGGAAGACCACAGGCACAGTTCTAGTTAAGGCCGTAGTGGCAGGCCAAGAAAAATCTCAGATAAGCAGAGGCGAAGGATGGTGAGAACAGTCAAACTCAACCCACAGACCAGTTCCAAAGACCTACAACATGATCTTGCTGCAGATGGTGTCACTGTGCATCGTTCAACTATTCAGTGCACTTTGCACAAGGACATGCTGTATGGGAGAGTAATGCGGCAGAAGCCTTTTCTGCTCCCATGCCACAAAAAGAGTCGTTTGAGGTATGCTAAAGCACATTTGGACAAGCCAGCTTCAGTTTGGAATAAGACTGATGAAACTAAAATCGAGTTATTTGGACATAACAAGGGGCGGTATACATAGTGGAAGAACAACACAGCATTCGAAGACAAACACTTGCTACCCACAGTTAAATTGGGTGGTGGTTCCATCATGCTGTGGGGCTGTGTGGTCAGTGCAGGTACTGGCAATCTTGTTAAAGTTGAAGGTCGCATGGATTCCAGTCAGTATCAGCAAATTGCGAACAATGTTTAACAATCAGTGACAAAGTTGAAGTTGTGCCGGGGCTGGATACTTCAACAAGACAACGACCCTAAACACCGCTCAAATTCTACCAAACCATTCATGCAGAGGAACAAGTACAACGTTCTGGAATAGCCATCTCAGTCCCCAGACCTGAATATCATTGAAAATCTGTGGTCTGTTTTAAGGTGGGCTGTCCATGCTCAGAAACCATCAAACCTGACTGAACTGGCGATGTTTTGTAAAGAAGAATGGTCAAAAATATATACCTTCAACCAGAATCCAGACCCTCATTGGAAGCGTTTAGAGGCTGTTATTTCTGCAAAAGGAGGATCTACTAAATATTGATGTAATTTTTCTGTTGGGGTGCCCAAATTTATGCACCTGCCTACTTTTGTTTAAGTAATTATTGCACAATTTCTGCAAATCCTATAAACCTTATTTCACTTCTTAAATATCACTGTTTGTTTGTTATATGGTATATTTAATTGAAATTGCTGTTCTGAACAACCAATGATCCATAAAGGAAAATCTTGAAAACAATCAGGGGTGCCCAAACTTTTTCATACCACTGTATGTCTATGCGGGAGGAAACCCAAGTACCCAGAAATGCCCACACTCACACAGGGAGAACATGCAGTCTTCAAGGACCATAGACTCAACAGACCATCAGTTATCACCTGGAATTGAACCAGTGATTTGATTGCTTTGAAAGTTGTGGAAATGTTAGGGCTGTTTCCCACATCACATTATACAGTGGTTATCAGCCCTGATCTTGATCAGCTTGGGTGAAGAAACTTAATTTTCAGCAGTGATAGTTCAACATTTAATGTGTTACCCTTCTACACTCATTCAAATCTAAGAAGTGTATCTGTAGCAAAATGTACTTGGGTAAATGGATGTGTAATAGACATAAACAGTATTATAATCGTTATTTTTATTTTTGTACTGATAATAAAAGTAGCATTCATATGCACAAGTAACAAATAGGGCTCGATTGTGGAAAAATATATTACTTTGGTCAATATTGAAATCCCGATTATTTAGCGTGATTACTCTGAAATCACATTGCATAAATAAACCCTGTGGAAACAGATACAATTAACAAATAAATAGTGTATGAGAAAAATGATATACAGTATATAGGGTTATGGTATCTATATACGTGTGTGTGTAAATATGCGTGTGTTTGTTTATTTATTTAACCTTTATTTGACCAGGTAATACTAGTCCGTGTCATTTAAACCAAAATATATTCAATCACTTCTTGCAAAAAAAGAAAAACACAGCAATGATTTAGTCTGAGGTAATAACAGATTTTCCAAGTGCTCAGACAGTCAGTGACTGCATCTTTCCTGTGTTACTCCACCTATTTCACCTCGAGGCTGCTTCAAATCAACACACTCAACACACACTGACCGTGCGCTGTGGCCTCTGTTATCATATTACCAGTGATGATAATAGTAGTATTTCTAACAACAATCACCTTCAGCCTTAACATTTCCTTTCCAACAGCTCATGTCAGAACTGTGATTCTGAAGATAGTGAATGAAGTTCACTTGAATCAGAAAAAACAGGCCCCCAATCCAAATACCTCCCTGCAGTTGTTGATGTAGTAGATTGATGGTTGGATTCATGTCCCTGCCTGTAGCTGGTATGTCCTAACAGAATTCATCAGAGCAGACTGCATATTTCTGACCTAATATATCAGTCATGATGAGGAGAGGCCTGCCACGCCCTCTGCTGCTACTGATGCTGCTGCCTATACTTTGTGTTATGTGATTATGTGATCAAGTTTGGTTGACTTGCATACGTATGATTCTTTTTTTTATATTCACTCTCCTTTGTGTTTTTCTTCTTTGTCCCTCACTTTTTGTGTTTCTTCTGTCTTTTCCATTGTATTTTTTACTTTCATTTGTCTTTATATTCTTTCTCTTCCAGTGGTACTCGTATTTCTTCTTTTTTGCTTTGTTTTTATCTGTTTGTTTTTTACAACTCTTGCGCCCTTTCCTTTGTTTCATTTTTAGTTCATTCCCTTATTCCCCCTCTCACTATAATTTCTCCCTCCCTGTGCTGTTCTCAAGTCTATTTTTATCTGCCTTTTCTTGCTGTCTAATTGTTGACATATATTTTTGTATTTAAATAACTAGAAAAACACAACCTTAGACTTGTGTGAAGTTTAAATTTTTGTTCCTCATATAATCCAACTGATAATTGTTTGATATTAGACCAAAGCTTCTCCTGTGTCCTGACCGAGACATCACAGTGAACAGGTCCCATGTGTTAATAAGGTGATGAGATCAGAATGACATCATAACCAGGGGATTTATGAAGCTTCAAATCTGTATGGTCAGGAGTCATGTGACCTCTCGTGTGTGCCCATTGTGGTTCTAGGATCTGCTGACTCTATGTTTTGTGTGCATTTATTAGGTTACGGTGGTTTTAGTAGCATGAGGTAATTATCAGCACGTTAGAGGTGTGCTGGGATTTAGCATTTTAGCATGTAGCGTGAGCACAACAATGTCATCACAGAGTTTTGTGGTGCATTATTTCTTAGGCTAGCTTTTTCTTTGGGATTTAACAGGAGATCTATATCATTTGCACTGATCCAACTTTTTCTGTCTCGATACCCCTACCTGGACTCATACACACATGGACTTAAATTCACAGATTTGTTACTGTAAAAGTTAAAATACTTACTTTTTTTTTTAAAATGTACTTTTATTATTATATTTACTCTCAACATTAAATACATTATCAACCTGGAACTAAGCAAACTCTATGAGGAACAGTCACTTTCACTCTAGTGACACAGTGGTTACTGCCCCCTGTTGGAAAAGAATGCAAGTACCTCTGTGCAAGTATGGGGCAGGGTATAGTACTACACTACTGGCTTTTTACCTACTGCCACATTGAGCACCATCTGCTAGAGGAGGCCATGCTGTTTTCCCTCTAAAATAACAGTTACTAAAATAAGGGTAAGGGCCCAATGCTTGGGGCACAAAACGCTGGAGTGCCTCCTGGTGTTGGTTGACATTCCTGCAATTGGCTGGCTACTAGGATAGCATATTACTGAATCCCAGAGTGGAATTCCTCTTGCTACCAAATGACATACAGTACGTTCATAATAACAATATACAAAGACACCGAGTCATAGGAACTAAACATTACTTTTGTTATTCCCTCTGGTTCCATTAGAACACGGATGCCCAATCAGCAGATCACAACCTACCAGTAGATTACATGAGCAATTTAAATTATATATATAATTAATTTAAAAGTATGTTTAGTTTAGAAAAGTAAATATATATTAAACATTTTCATTATCGATCACTTGAGTCTGGTAACTTGAATAGTAGCTCCCAAAAAATAGTGCAGACACATCTCCAATACATGTCTGACTTATTTTCTATCAGTGGCTTTTATATGCTGTGCAGCATTTGGAATTAAGTCATTATCACATCATTGTACCGAATACACTGAGTCATTCCTCACCACGTTTCCTCCTTCTACCCTCCCTCTGATGTGGCCATTTCATAGGCTGTCAGGTTGTTTGCTAAACCTTGTTTGCAGCAGCAGCAGTTGTGTAGCAGAGGAGGGAGGCACAGTGGGGGACTCAAACTTGAGTTGAAATTAGTTTTGAATGTTGTTGAAATTGACAACATTCGTACAGCATAGCTGTATCAGCAGCACCCATGTTTGGCTGTGAATCCATCTACAACACACAAGGAGGTGTCTCGGAGAGTTCAAGTTTGTTTTTGTTTTTTTGTTTTTTTCATTTTCGTAAAAATTCTTTCAGCAGAGAAAAGGTCAGCTTCTTCAACAAGCCAACTGTTTTAAGTATCCAGATTTAGTGTAAAAGGAGCATTTAACCTAGGCTGAGCAAGCAAGAATCAGTGGTTCACCTTATTTGGAGTGTGAAACCATTTTGACGTCATACATTTTTTGCAACCACAGATACATTTTCCTTTTTTCTATAATTAGTTTTTGATCATGTTTGAAAGAAAGTGAAAGAGTACAATTATTTAAGATTGTCTTTGGTGTTATTAATCATAATTATTAAAAAATAATAATGAATTCTGAACTTTTTTTAAATTAGCAGACATTTCAGGCGATCCCATTTGAATTCCAGGTGACCTTACGTGGGTTTGCAACTCATATGTTGAAAAACACTGTGTTATACTTTCCCTGAATAAGATCTTATGTGTGCTATGACTTTTAGTGGTATTAATCTTACTTACTATAAGTCAAGCCGATTTTACTTGTATAGCCCACATTCACAAAACACATTTGACACAACAGGACTTTACAGTTTGGAATATGAATTAAAATTAAACTTACAATATCCAAATCCTTAGAAATGGAGAGAGGTAAATACAGTCAATTTTATACTATATATGTATACTAAGGTTAAGATCCATCAATTCTCACACCCAGCCAGTCACACTTGCTTCTTCTTCGTCTCTAGTAGGTGACCGGTAAAACTCCTGGTACATTGTTATCCTGGCTCCATTTCCTGTCTTCTAAGTTGTTTCATGAAACAATGGAAGCCGCTCAACCCTTGACCTAGATTCAGGTGTTTAGCTTAACCTGAGTCAAGGTGTAAATGTGTTGTAAGGATCAGCTGAAAGGCACAGCCTTCCATTATCCCAGCCTCACACAATACACTCAAACAATAGCAGAGCTTCTGCAATGAGAAGTGAATTCTCTAGAAAACTGTGGATGAAAGTCTTCTCAAAGTTTGCCCAGTTAATTTGTAACTAACTTTTAGCATTTTGGTCATAAACCTGTGAGTCACAATGCTCATTCATGTTACGTTTTTAAAGGGCAGATCCCTGATTGGGTAAAATAGAAAGTTCCCTCCAACCTTTTACAACGTGCCACTCCTTCTGAGGCCAAAACAATATCTGTACATCTATTGTGTTCTTGGTACCTGGAAAAAAGAGCTTAATTCCTGGTAGCATCTCTACCTCCTAATGCTAGTGCCCGTGTTACAACAACAACTACTTACAGGTCAGCAAAAAATGATAAAATGGTAAAAAACAGAAAACTGTCCACCAGAGTTCCCAAACATCAAAATGACAAAGCGTATGTATGATAGCCTATTATATTTGTCTAGGTGTCATGCAGAGCAGCACAGCTCAAGTTTCCTCCATGTTATATAACCCAGCAGGCCAGTTCCCTTTGAACCCACCCCCCAACAGAGGTTAAATCAAGCTCATTGGGAGCAGCCTGTTCAGAGATGGAATATGACACAGTCACATGACCACACTAAATAGATAAAGACCCAGATCTAGGCCAGTGCACAGTGTTTACTGCACTTATCTGAGTCTAAATCATTCAACAGTCAGTGGTGCAGGGCATCTGATGCTGGAAGAGAATGGTTTTGTCAGCTGTGGTGCTGCTAACATGAGCGTTATCTGCTGTACATTTCAACACTTCATCAATCCAATACAACCCTTTAGACTCTTGAACCCAAGCTGTTAATAACAGTGTGCTACTGCTCCCATTAAAAGTCATATTAGTCCAGCCGCATAACAGATGTTCTGCTGAACAAAAAACTTTATTATTAAACATAAATTGAGTATGTTTTTTTAGGGAATTTAAATAAATCTCAAAATGACAGAACTTTAAAGTAATACATTTTTATGGTTTAGCAGGAAGAACACAACAGCTGCGTTGCTCAGTTGGATTGCCACCCTGTGTTGGCATTTTCCCATTGTCTTCATTATCTAAATCTTTGTCATTGTGTTAACTGTTGACCCAGCAGGTGGTATTAAATCAGTGCTTTCACCCTTTCTGGCTTGTGACCCCATTTTGACAACACAAATTTCTTGTGATTTCAAGAGCCAGAGTTTTTTTCTGGAATTAGTTTTGGTTATGTTTATGTTTTAAATGAGTGACATTGAAAGATTACAGTTGTTTGTGTTTTTTTAAAAGAAATATTTCTCTTTTTTTAATTATTTGTTAGACATTTCAGGCACCATTTGTATTCCAGGGGACCTTGTGTAAGCTGGTTATGATTAATAAAAAAATTATGTGGTTATCAGACCTCCATATTGTCACCACTGGCCCATTTATTCATTACTTATGCTCATTAATGGACAGTTGCTATGCTAGTCTGTAGACATAAATGTTTTACTGTTCTTGTGTTGAGTGTGTGATCTTGTGTTCTTTTTGGTCATTGCGATTGCTGTTTTCTTTCTTTCGTACAAATGTTGGGGTCCTGTTTCTGACTGTTACTGTTTCCACTCGTTTTCATGTCCAGATTCCAGTGGTTCCCCAGTGTGTGACCAGTGCCTTCATCAGTACAGCGGCTCACAGTGTGACAAGTGCAGCGCTGGCTTCCACAAAGTGTCTGGTGCCTGCGTTCCCTGCGACTGCAGCGGTAATGCAGACCCTCGTGGCCCCGCCCAGATCTGTCACCCTGACACAGGCCACTGCCTCCAGTGCATCAACAATACCGGTGGACACCAGTGTCAGCTCTGTGCTCCCGGGTTCACTGGAGATGCCAAAGCGCACAACTGCAAGTGGATGGGTAAAGAATAAACTACACGCCTTTGCTCAGTGTGCCCAGTTATATCTGAACCGACAGTGTCCTCTGCTGGCTCCCTGAAGCATTAGGAAAACCACATATTTGTGCCACATAATCTTTTCTAATAATATAATATAACATACAACATAACGTAAAACGACCATATATAGATATATATGTATACATACATTTATGTAAATATATGTTTATACACATGTATATAGAAGTGTGTGTGTGTATGAGTTATATTCAATACTGTTATATTGTTATAATTTTTTCTTTTTTTTTCTTTCACTGCTCCACCTTTCTTAGACCCACGGATCCTCCCCACATCAGCAGCCAGAACCACAACACAAAGCAAAACTTCAGGTGCATCCTCCAAGACTAGCACCACTTTGGCTCCCTCAGCTTCAACACTGAGCCACAACACAAGTGTGATGGCGAGCACCACAACCACCACCACCACTGCGACCACCACCCAGGCCCTGCTGACCAGCCTGAGCAGTCCCACAGACAACACCACTGCGGCTCTGACGGAAGTCTCCTGGACCCAGTTTCACATCATTATCCTGGCCGTCATCATCCTGGTGGTGGTGGTGCTGCTCGGCTTCGTTGGAGGTGTGTACATGTACAGAGAGTACCAAAACCGCAAACTCAACGCCCCCTTCTGGACCATAGAGCTGAAAGAAGACAACATCAGCTTCAGCAGCTACCACGACAGCATCCCCAATGCTGACGTGTCGGGCTTGCTGGAGGATGAGGCAACAGAGGTGGCGCCCAATGGCCAGCTGGCGCTTACCACACAGGGAAACTGCTACAAGGCCTAGCACACCCTGTCCTCCCTATAGCTATATTTAGAGATAACAAAAGCTGCTGGAAATGACCAAAATCCAAAGCTCTTCCCATGTCTGACTGCTTCTTCTTAAGCTGCTTGGCCTCAACATTTCATAACACAAACCTCTGCAATGAAGTGGATGTGATCCAAGAGAGGAGACGTTTTACGTTTTTAATAGGGTTTTCTCTCCTGGAGTGAAGCGATTGGTAAGAATGAGCCAAAGAAAAAAAGGCTACATCATAAGTGGTACCTGTAGGTGGCATCGTTCTGCAGGAAAATTGGTATCATATGAGACAAGGTTGTCAAATGGATGACACATAAAGCAGATAGAGAACTGGAGACAGGAGTCTAGCATTTCCCCTTTGTTAAAAAAACAACTGGACCGTGGAATTTGGGAGTGGATCACTCGGAGCAGTGGTCCAATCAAACTAAGACAATGATTGTTATTTAATGAATTTTTAATTCTGTTCTTATTTATTGATCGATGTTTTGTTCCTGGGAGAAATGCTGCACATGTTGTATGACGTGTTTATTCATGTTGTTTTATCTTTCGTGCTGTTGAACGGTAAATTCTGAACAGGCCAGTATGTTCACATGTGTAGTTTGTGTTTTTGTAGAAAATACAAAGGCTGCTGGTACAAGCTTTTCTTACAACCTCATGTTTTATTCGGTGTTCATGGCTTCTCATATGTCAAAGCGATACTGCAGGGGTTTTTTTTGGTTCTTTTTTTGTTTTGTTTTTTAAGGTGTAGTTTTACGAGGACGAAAAGTCAAAGCTAAATGTTCTAGAGAGACTTAACAAAAAGATATTTTAAAAAATCTCCACCTGCTTATGTCTATGATATCTCATTCTCTGATTTGAAACTGACGTTTGTGATGTCATAATTCTTCTGCACCATAGTCTAAACTCAAAACATTCTTCTGTATTCATATTTGAACCAAGATAAGGCAATTTTAAATAAGGAGCCCTTCACTCATCACTTGGAAATTTTGTCTTCTGTACATTTAACTTAATTTAAAGGATCATTCTGAATGTATTAGATAATAATTAAATAATTAATTAGATAAGACATTATAAAAATGAGGCAGGTAAACTCAATGTTTCAAATTACATGAACACATCTTAGCAGTTTATTTTTCAACTTTTTTTTCCCCAGAAGCAAAAGTTGAACTCTGGCATATTCAAATTCTAGTCTTTCTTTGGGGTTTTGCTTTGCATTAGAGGTAAATGATTACTCATTGAGAAACTGGGATTAGTGAGTGTGAAACTAGGATTCGTTGGTAACAAAAACACCTTTTCAGTCCTAAAATAAGGCATTGGTATCAAATACAATTAGTCCCTGAGTGGAAATGGTCAAAATAGAGAGTTATTTAAGGCCTAAGTATTTGTGTATTTTTACTGGACAAGTCTTGAGTTTGACGTCCAACTAAATAACTAGTTAGACTAGTTTTACGGTCAGCTGGCTTCACTTCAGAGTCAGTGCTGTCTGTGTCATATTGCGGCGCTTCATCTCACCTGACCAATCCCTTTGTTAAAAAGAGTTCCACCTTATCTGATAAGATCACTCCTTGCTTATATGTAAGGAGTGTTTGTCTTACTGATAAGAGCAGGACAGCGTGGGCTTGTTACGTAAACTCCTACTCCTAAACAAATCTGCTCTCTGTTTCTACCTCAGTGGCCATTCCCAAAATTCCCCCCACTTCCGCCGTGTGTGATTGGAAATTGTGGAGGTTGGGCTCTGTGATTCATTACCTGCCAGCCAAAATATTCACAACACCAGTGACAGTACTTTCATAGAGTGAAACCAATATCGGCGATGTACAAAGGCGGCCTACAATTAGTCATGGTTACACAATGAAGTTTTACCAACTCAGAATCATACCAGTGCACCTGGCCCTGCTCCTAGATCCTATGTTGTCTCTGTTGTTTTTTAGCTTGCTTTGAAACAGTGCGCTTGTTTTTAATACCACGCTGAACAAATAAGTAAAGCTAATTACAGACTTAACTCCTCAGGTACTGGCTTTTTCCTTAATGTGATAAGTGTAAATATAATGACTGTACAGATTAATGTGAATATTAGCACTATTAATGTACAGGTAGTATACTGTGTGTACACTGTTGACTGGACATGTTCTCAACCTTCCACTGTTCAGAGTGTGATGCTGTCATCAGCCTTCAGTTGTTTTTTGGGGGATTTTTTTGTTGTGCTTTTGTTTGTTTTTTTCCATAACATCTGCCATATAAACCACCACGGCACTGATAACTACACCGTGAACTTTATCAAAAGGGTGTAAATATTGAGCCTCAAAAGTCGAATAAAAAATGGGTATAACTGTAGTCTGGCCTTGTCTTTGTCCATCTGCAGGTCCCAGGGACATCTAGAGATTTGAGTGAACAGAGGTTACATTTTCTCATTTATGTTGATTCTTTTCTTGCTCACATTGTCTGAAGAAGGTTTAGTCTTTATCTTTATCTGATTTGTCCATTCTAGTAAATGATCACTCATTATGGTTTCACCTCTCAGGCTCCCTTCACAGCACAGGTCTTGTTGCTCAATTCTTATTTTTTGCTGCGGTCCCAATTTTGTGTTATTCTTCACTTATTATTAGTTTTATAGTTTATATGTCACTGATGTCACACTTGGTTGTAAACAGTCTACAAACCTGAAGTGTTTTTTTTTACGCTATGTGAATCTCATGCCGGTGGGCATTGACACAAATGACTTAGGAAAAACCCAACTCGCACTGAAAAAAAATGTATACAGGAAGTTATAACAGAGCAGTACAGTTTTATTTTATTTTTATTTAAAGGGATGGGGCAGTTCACATGTGCCCATGTATATCATGTGACTCTTTGCAGTAACACTAAAAGTTGTGGCTCTTACCCTCCGACTGGTTGGGCACCCCTGCTCTACAGCTTCCGCCTGGAACCTCAAGGGCTGATTCCAGCTTACCTGCTGCCACCACATGTCCAGGAAGTGAGTGAAACTTCTACAATCTTGTTCTTTTCTGACCAACACCATCACCAGTGATTGCATGTTTGTTTTGTTTTTTTTACTTACATCTGAGATGCCATGTTTGAGCTTAGACATTTGACGTTTCACTTCTGTGACCTAAAACAGGTTTCCCATCCTGGGAAAAACAGGAAAATAAATGACCACTCTCCAGTCATGGAAAACATGGAGACTTAAGACAGGAAGTCATAGGTGATAATTTTTTCTGCTTCGTGTTGCTCCCTTTTGTCCAATAGAATCGTAAAATCATAAAATGTGTCACTCTGCTACCCTGCCCTTGTAGAACATCAATAAAACTATCTTTTGTATCATAAATATCTTTTGAGACTAGAAAACTGAATTAAAAAAATTAACTAATGACGAATAATGATAATACTGATTTCAGTTTATATCTCAACCTTAAATTATTTTGTTATTGATTAATAAAGCTAAAGCTAAGTTCACAACGTGAATGATGCGTTTATGTCATGACGATTGCTAAGCACTTGTAAATTGTGGTCGGTTGAGCTATGTTTGGCCAGAAGACGGCGACATTCTACAGAAAATAAAATAAACAAAAACCGGTTGTTTGGTCTAAATAGAAGAACAATACTGGGACTTAAACATATGGATGTTCTTTGTGGACTGCCAACAACAACAACAACAATATTAATATTGATATTAATAATAATAAAATACTACTAATGATAATAATACAATACTACTACTACTAATAAAAACAATATAAATAATAAAATAATATTAACAATAATACTTTGGTGACGTAATAAAAGATATGTGATTCGTGGACCGTAACATATTGTAAATGTTTAGGCAAAGTAATCTTAAAGAGCTTGATTGTTTGAATTGAGCTATGAAAATAAATGTTACACTACAAGAGTAATTCTAAGCCATTCTTATTTTGTCTAAGTATTTCTCAGAGAACAAAAGGTTGGAGACCCCTGATCTAGGACATGACCTGACGTATTTGTCCACTCACCAACTTGTTCTTGTGCAAACCTTTTTTTTACCGGTGTACGTCAGAAAATTGGAACAACTTTTTTTTATTAAATTAATAGGATCCTATATGAATCTTGTAAACTATTCCTAAGTGACAGCCAATAAGAGGCTTTAACAAAAACACCTGAGTCTGATGATTCATCACTAAGCCTTAATTGTAACAGGTCAAGTCCACTGTTTAGCATAAAAAACAGATGAGTTCAATACATCTACTCCCACAAAATGACACACCTTTAAGTCTGAAGGTGTGCCATTTTGTGGTAGTAGATGTACTGAACTCATCTGTATAACACATTGTTCAGGGGCAGGAACAAAAACATCAGGAACAAGAAAAAAATAGCATTGACACCTGTAATCAATGTGTGAAAAAAACAATTGTCTTACTGTGGTACGGCTAACCTCTGTGTCATACTGTATCAGCTTTCAGTAATGAAAACACCTTTCCACTACAGTACGGTTGCATCACAGTGATGAAATTTGACAATTGCATGGGCCACATGTTTACACAACTTCTTTCTTAAAAATTATAAATATTTGATATATATGTATATACAGTATATATAAATATCAATATTTATTTATTTATATTGTTGACCATTTGGTGCTAAACTGTCAGTAAAAATCAGTACATAATAACTACATCTGCTGGTGGATAACAACCCAAAAATATCCGGTTTCCCTCTAACAGCAATATAAACATACATGCTGACAGACAAAGGGTGTGGTTCCGGGTATTGGTTTAAAAAAAAAATGGGCGAAAGTCTGCTTCTGGGACGTGGGCGAGGCTCAAGCAGCGGCTGATAAATGCCGGGTCTCTCACATTGAAGATGGAACTCCCGGAGGCATGACATAGTCTGAAGTATGGAGAGAAATCACTGCTACTGCTGCTGCCGCTGCTGGGATGAAGAGGGAGCAGAAAGAGAAGTTTGTCGCTCAAGCGAGCTAAATATGTTACGGAGGAAGGAGACGCGTGTACGGCAGTTTTTAACGCTGCTGATGTTTTCATTGACTGCCTGTCTACTGCTGCTCCTGCTGCTGTTCCTGTGTCGTCATCAGGCTTCTCATCCTTATCCTCAACAGGTAACATTCACCACATGCACCATTGTTGCGTTTTGTAAACTTCGCGACTTTGTCGCAAATGGCTTGAATGTGTTCGCGACTATTTCGTACGTTTATTTATGGCCTCTTGACCCTGGTCTGTAGTGTTGATTGAGCTGAGTCAAAGACATGGTTGCCAAGTCTTCTTTTAATAAGGGAATTTAAAAGGAACGGTCTTTCTGTGATCCACTTTTCATTTTATTTTATGGACTTATATGATCATACAAAAAGGAGATGGGTTATTCTAGGTACTAGGTACTAATAGAGCATAACATGTCCATGACTTTGAGTAACTTGAAAGTATTTATATGGTTAAGGTAGGATTTTGTACATTTTCATACATTTATATCACAAATAGACCAATTTGTGAAAGAAAAAATAAAATTGTTTTTCTTTGGTTGTGTGTTTGGCTTGCTCGACCTGGCAACACAAGAAAAATACAACCTTATAAAAAACATCTGTACCATAATCTCATTTTTTGCACTCTGTACAATTTATATTCACTGAATATAAAACATTTTTTGCACCGGCAGATGTAGACGTAGACCTAAATGTAACGCAAAATGTATTAAAGTTCACCATAGTGAGTATATAAATTAATGTTACAAATATGTAATTTTATTATATTTTATACCTTTATTTTTCCATTATTAGATTCTAATTTATATATATTATCTCGTGTATTATAATCCTAATCACATCGTAATAACAATTTCTCTTTGAAAAGACTCAACAAACAGACAAACAAATACAAAGAGCACATTCTGTTTAGGTAGAGATGAGCAGTGTGTTTGTTTTTGTTGACCATTTAAATAAGTTGTCTGCTGTTCATCACAAAGTGAAACGTAAAGGTTTTTGACTCACTCTCTTGTTTCTTCACAGCTTGCCAGTTCTCGTGACAGCGAATTTTCAGGTAAATGTCTTATTCATTATTTTATGTGGTTGTGTTTTTCCATAGTCAATGAGAGAGAGAGAGTTAACAGGAATGAATATTGACCACTGATTTAATGTGTTATGGGTCATATTTGTTGTTTACATCTGTAATGTCTTTTCTTCAAATCTGTTTCCTTTCTTAGGCACCGCTTACAAACTGCAGCAGACGGATTCCACTAAGCCCAGTGCTATGATAACAGGTAAACCAGTAACAGTGTATTCATGCATATTTATTGTTTCTGTTTATGACATTGTTTGTTCAGTGACATAATTATATTTTTTAACTGGTCTGTTGCCGGGGCATTGCACTAATTTTAGATTATTTGGCAAAACCCAAGCATTGCGTCATTGGCAATCAGTATCAGAGGAAAAACCAATAATGATTCTTGCAGATATTACAAAATTTGCTAATGTCGGTGCGATAATATTTCTTTTTTTAAGCAATTTTAAAGTTTAAAAATGAGGCTGTCCAGAAAAGTCCATATCTGTACAATCAGCATGTTCACCTTCATAACCTTGTTTTTCTTTCTGTCTCTGCCTTTAATGCTTAGCTCCATTTGACAACATCACTGATGGTAAATACCTTCAATGGGAGCACAGCTTGGGGAACGCCAAATGTCTTGGAGGCTTCAGATACTCCAGTGGGAACTTGGTGGTTCCCAGGAGTGGCATCTACAGAGTCTTCCTGCAGATCACCTACGAGAGCAAGTCCAGGTGTAACAAGGAGCTGAAACTCACCCAAATAGTGTTTTCATTCTACAACAGCTACAATGAGAACATGCGTCTGTTGTCGTCAGTGGACACAGTCAACTGCAGCTTGGATCACTGGAGGAAATCCCTCTACACAGCAGGTATTTTTTACCTGGAAGGCAACACTCTACTTCGTGTGATGTCATCTAACCCTGAGCTAATCGCACGCAAAGAAGATTTAGTTTTCTTCGGAGCAGAATTTCTCAGTGAGTAGTCTCAAAATGGTCTCCAGCAGTGTTTGTAAAAAGTGCACAGTTTAGAGGGCCCGGGGGGTTATATTATTATAGGTAGAATACCAGTTGATATTTAGGTGCAAACAGTCTTAATTGATCGGTATAATACAATCAATTTAATAAAATCAGTCCAATTCAAATATTTCAGATTGGTTAAAATTGTCAAACATATTGGAGTGTTTCAGACTTGATGTCTTCAATGAATACAGCAGCAACACAGACAGATGCAGTTTATAAAAATATTCACATTTCTTATAACAAAACTATTAAGTGTATAATATAATTGGATACAGGAATTGACAACAAGGCACAAATGTGATAAAGATAAAGAGAGAAAGATATTGCATCTACACTACCAAGCAGGTGACTCCTCGGGGCGCGTTCACATGAGTGGCTGCACAGTGTAACAAGAAAAAAGTACGAGGCAGAGAGGTGGGGCAGAATAGTTTTGGCTCTGCAGGTGTGTTTGCATGCAGGAAATGATGTGTTCCCAATACTTCATAACCAGGGATGTGCAATAATATGGGCCAAACGATATTATTGGCCAATATTAGATAATTGGTAAAAATCGTTATCGGTTTTTCCTCAGATAATGAAAACCCAATAGCGCAATGTCTGGGTTTGGCCCAGATGATGTGACCTAAAAATGGAACTATTTGTATTGTGCACAGTGTTGTCATTGTGACAGCACACCACAATAAAATGTGTACTCTCCCTTTAACCCAAACGGCTGCATGTATCGGTATCAGTTGCTATCGGAATTGAAAATTAAGTGTTTGGACAATATCAGTGATCGGATATTGTCCAAAAGTTAATATCAGACATTGCTATTCATAACATTGAATAGCAATGTTACAAGTTCTCACTACATTACAAGTTCTCACTAAAATCCTAGTGGTGCACAGGAGTGACAGAGAGGAGAGATAGAGCATACAGCAGTAGTAATGACAACAACACATGTGCATACAATGTGTACAATTAAACTGTTCCTGAGTGCAAATATAGTATTATTAAATATAACTAACAGTAAGACTGACATGCCCAAACGCCAGCCTTACTATTTATAGAAATAGGACGAACTGTTTGTATTAAGGACACTCCCTGAACCTCTCTGAGGCACAGGGAGTGTCTAGGATCCAGGGGAAATGTCAGTGTCCGTCTCAGAGGCCCCCAGGTCCGAAAGTACGTCTCGGGAGTAAAAGTCTCTGACTGTTCATGTGGCGGTTCACATGATGAAGTTAAAGGAGTCTGATAACAATAACAATGTACAGCAATTTTTTACTTCTACATTTGCTGTTCCTAGTGTTCAGGCTCATACTTGTCTTTTCTTAACTAATTATTTGTACTAATTGCACTGCACCACATGAGTACAGGGAGCTCTGTTCTATAGTACAAAGGGCTGTAGTTGTTAGTGATGCACTTATTATATAAGATGGTACATGTCAGTATCTCCACTGACAAATATTTGATTTTTTGATTCTTTTTGTTTATATTTTGTTTCTTGGTGTAAGCTCTTTACTGTGAACATTTTGTTTTATAGGCCCACAAAAAACCTCCATTAGGACAGGGTGTTTGAGTTTAATGTGAATGCAATAAATTGACAAGTAAAATGAAATGTTACATAATGATAAACTTGATGATGCACGTAGAATGTGTAAATTTAAATTAAAAAATGGCAACTTCTCTTTCAGAAGAGAAGAAGTACATACAAATAAAAGATGTTTTACATTTTTGGTTGTGTATTTATTTGTGCTTAGCATAAGTATTCACCCCCTTTGATGTTTTACACTTTTACACAATTATTGCTTTAATAAATCATCACAAAGATTTATTGAAAAAACTATTGAAAAAAATTGACTATTGAAAAAACTCTTTAATGTCAAAGTGAAAACATAGTTCTATAAAGTAATGTTAATGAAACAAAATTATATAAAAAAATAATTGTTTGCATAATTATTCACCCCCTTCAATGTGGGAGGAATAATTGAAGGGGGCTGTGGGAGGAGGTGAAGAAGAACCTTGCTAGCCTGCGGAGGGCAGAGCGCATCCGCAAACGCAGGAGGCGGAAGGAAAAGGAGAGGAGCAACTTCTTCAAAAACCCCTTCAGGCACGCAAGACAGCTTCTAGAGGACAAGAGAAGCGGGAAGCTGGGGATCACAAAACCGGAGCTGGAGGAACACTTCAGGGAGCAATACAGCGACCCAGCAAGATCAACTCCGCTGGGATCTCCTGGTTATGTTCCTCGCCCAGCCCCCCCCATCTTTCCCATTCGATGCTGCTCTCCCTAAGCTCAGAGAGGCAGAAGTTGTCTGGAAAGCAAGAGCAGCCTCAGCCCCAAGCCCCAATGGGATACTTTACAAACTGTACAAGTATTGCCCAAGGGTCCAGAAACTTTTATGGAACCTCATGAGGGTGGCTTGGAAGAACCATGTCATCTCCTCAGAGTGGCAAAGGGCAGTCACAGTTTTTATCCCAAAGGAGGCAATATCCACCACCATCAGTCAGTTCAGGAGCATCGTCCTACTGAATGTCGAAGGAAAGATCTTTTTCTCCGTGCTGGCCAAGAGGCTGACCAACTACATGACTAGTAACAGGTACATCGACACCAGCTGCCAGAAAGCAGGTCTACCAGGATTCCCAGGGTGTGTGGAACACTCTGCAGTCATCTGGGAGCAGATCCAGAGAGCAAAAGGCGAAAAAGGTGACCTGCATGTGGTATGGCTGGACCTTGCCTACGCATACGGATCCATCCAGCATCAACTCATCCCTGGCCCTATCAGGACTTCAGTAGCCAAGTACTTTGAAGACCTCAAGATGTGCTGCACCCACCAGGACTACACTACAGGATGGCA